ACCAACCAGTGGGGGCCCCACTCTCATGTGGGGCTGGGGTGCCCCCTGAAAGAGCTGCATGCGAGGGACCTACACTTTTCTTTGATTGCAAACCCAGGTCTTCCCAGGTGAGCCTCTGAAGGAAAACCCTGGAGACAGACAGCAGCCATGATCTCTCTTGGGCACCTGGACTCCCCCAGCCCTGGCACTCCTTAAGTGCACCGTCAGAGGAGACACGGGCAGCCCACCGCCACCATGGTCTTTCCTGTGGGCACCCTTCCCTGCTCAGCTCATTAGGGGCTTGTATCTGTGATGTTAGCACGGCAGATGCCTCACTTTCCTGCAGAGGAGGGCCGGGTGGGTGCTTCTACCAGTGACGGGAGTGAGAACGGCCCGACGGGCTGCTGCCCACCCTCCCGCACACTGCCACAGCTGCGGCAAGGCAGACTCCTCTGGAAGCTGTCCAGGCCACCGTCCCCCCAGGCACCTGCTCTCAGGATCAACTGCAGCGGACAGAGGCGATGGAACGGCGTCGCCACTCATCACCGGCAGGCCTGCCGAGGAGCTCTGGGGAACCCGCTCCCTTACCCCACTCTGTCTCTGGGAACAGCCCAGGAGAGGCTGTCCAGCTCGCAGCTCCCAGGCTCTCTGTTCTGTATGCAGAGAGTCATGGAATCGGGGGCGAAGGGCCTTGCTAGAGGTCACCCAGTGAGAAGTGGAAGCAAGCCCAGCCTCCAACTCCTGGTCCAGGTCTCTTTCCAGCACATTGTTACCTGCCTCCCACCCGCTGCCCAGCTCTGACCACCGGCCTGCCCCTCAGACCCGTTACAGTCATCAGTGGAAACCCCATCTGATGTGGGTGTGGGTCACTGTCCCTTGCCGTTCTTGTGAATCCCAGGAAATCTGAATTGCTTCGGACTCCATCTGGGGAGCAGAGGAAGGGTCCCCAGCAAACCCCACCCAGCATGCTCAAAGTGACCTGCAGGAGCTCATGGTAGCCACAGGCATCCCTCTGTGTTTTGTGTCCGGATTCTCGTTTCCTGGCTCCTGGCCTGCCCTTCCTGCCACATGGCAGCAGGACTGCTCCAGAACCCCCCACCCCCTCCTGTGGACCTACCTGTGGTGTCCCCGTCTCCCCAGTGCCTCCTAGGCCCCCCAAACCTGGCCTAGGGGGAATGGCAGCTGGCTGGGGAGCCGCCGCCTCCTCTTCCTGGGATGCGCGACAACAGGTTTTCAAACATTCCCTTTTTATTTTTTATGTCTAGAACCCTTTCAAAGGATCTCGGGCCATGTTCCATGCTCAGCAAAGGCAAGAAGCAGGCTGCAGGGTAGGTGGCTCTGGAGGCATTCCTGGGGTCCAGAGCTTTGGGGGTATGAGTGTGTCTCTCCCTCTGGAGGCCCTCTCTGTTTCTCTCTTTTGTCCCCAGCCTGGTCCTCCGGGGCTTGTGCACCTTCAGGTCGACCTCACTTATAAAGGGTGTGTATTTAGACAGACCTGCTTACATTGGCTAATGCTCCCTTAACTCCCTGAGAGTTTGGCTCAACTGTTCTTGGGATGTTCCGCTATGACATTAGTCTTTGAGAATAACTTTAAATACAAAATTTGATTTTTCAAAAAAAAAAAGTTGCAGGTGATAATCATATGAAAAAGGGCTTGCCATCCTTGGCCATCAGAGAAATGCAAATGATAATCACAATGGGAAATCATTATACCCTTGGCAGGATGGCTAAAGCTCAAAGGAGAGATGATAACAGGGACGGGCGAGGAAGTGGCGTAAATTAGAATTCTCATGTACAGTTGATCTCTGAACAACAAGGTCTGAAACGTGTGGGTCCACTTACATGTAGGATTTTTTTCAATGAACATATTGGAAAATATTTGGGGGATTTGCAATAATTAAAAAAAACATTTTCTTTTCTCTAGCTTACTTCATTGTAAGAATACAGTATATGATACATGTAACACACAAACTATGTGTTTATAGATTGTTTATATTATTGATAAGGGTTCCAAGCAACAGTGGGTTGTTAGTTAAGCTTTTGGGGAGTCAAAAGTTATATGCAGATGTTTGATTTTGCAGGGATTTGGCACTCCGATCACTGTGTTATTCTATGGTCAACTGTACTCCTGATGGGGGCAAAAATTGGCACAGTCACTTTGGAAAACTGTTTGGCTGTATCTGCTAATCCTAATTTTATTCCCAGACATACACCAAACAGCAATGAGTGTTATGTGCTCCAAAGTTACATACAGGAAAGATTGTAGCAACTCTACATATAATTGTCCAAACTGGAAATAACACACATATCCACTGATGACAAAATACATGAGTACAGTGCAGCATATACACCCAGTGGAGTATAACTGGCGTCATACTGAGAGAAAGAGGCCAGGTACACAAGGAGGTGCTCACTGGGTATGATTCCATTTATGTGATGCTCCCTGGGAGGGGACTGAGTGAGCCTCAGTGTCTCCATGGTGTTTACGTGTGTAGTAGTATCCTTAAAACATGTACGTTTTACTGTTTGTATGATATTCCTCAAAAAAATTTAAAGCTAAAAATAACAAAGTGCTAAAATTTTACACAGAATTGTGGTAAGTAAAACAGACAGAGGTTGAGCCACCTCAGGTGGCTCCTGAGGCACTTCTGGGCATGAAACCCTGGTGGACACGCCGAAAGCCTTTGCCCTGGAGGGAACATGGCCTCATGTTCCTGCAGCTGGCCCCAGCCCCCCACCGCACAGGGGTGGTCCAGGGCAGGGTTCCCAACCAGGGCTGTGCCCGAGGGGCACATCGCAGCTCCGTGCCTCTGTCCCTTCCACAGCTGGTAGGTTGGGCAGATGGGTGCAAACTGGGGAGGAAGAAACAGAAGGGATGGGGGTCACCACATAGCCAGGAAGGTGCAGAGCTGGGCTCCTACCTGGGATGGCAAGTGTCCTGGGACCTGATGTTTCCATGCCAGGTTCTGTTTCCCCACTGCAGTGGGGTGCTTAGGACAGATACTTACTGGTGAAAATAATAGTAAGAGATAATGCTGTCCTAGCTTAACTCAACTGAGCATTCACTCCGTTCCAGGCATTGTGTTAAAATACTTTACAAAGCTACACTTCTCCTTTAATCCCTACATCAGCCCTCTGAGGAAGGTGCCACTATTACCTGCTTTACAAATGACTTACTCTATGCACAGCTGTCTTCATTCATTCCAGCGGTCTGTTCACACGGACTGGGGAGTAAAGCTCAGGGAAGGCAAACCACTTGCATAAGGTCCACGCAGTTGATAAATGGTAGAAATAAGGGTTGAATCAAGGTTGGATGGACCCTCAAGCCCTGCCTCTTTCCTTTCACCAGGTTTTCAACAAATGTCTGCTCTGAACTAAATTAATGATAGAATCAGCATCTAAAAGGAACACAAGAGGGTAAGATGTTGACTCTGATCATTAAGAAAACAGCAGAGATACATGACAATCACATTTAGGGAAAAATAGCCCAAGTATGGGGTGAGAGAAACCTGCTTAGAGGTAGCACACATGAAAAAGACTCAAAGATATACTCGTCCACCTATCCAGGTATCTACCCACCCACCCAAAAATGTAACTGCCAGGCATTGAGCCTCTCTGTGCCCCCCTATGAGGTCGGCTGGGTTGGCTGTGTCTGCGGTGCAGGAGGGCCAGGCCAGGTTCAGGAAGGACATGCAGATAAGCCTCTACACCCCACTCCCCACCTTGTTGGTTGTATCAGTTCCAGTATCTTATCCCTGGATCTCAGAATGCAAGTTTGTTTTTCAGAACTAGCTGGGGTAACTTGGATTTAAAAAAGGACAATTTGTTAGAGCAGTTTTAGGTTCACTAAATTTTATAAAAATTGAGTGGAAGGTACAGATTCCGCTTAACCTGAGCCCATATATGCACAGCCTCCCCTATTACCAAAATCCCATACCAGAGCGGTAAGTTTGTTACAATTAATGAATTTCTACTGATACATTATGACCACCGAAAGTCCACAGGTAGCTGGGACTTTTGATGTGGGTCTGAGAGCTTGCCGTGTGCCAGGTATTGTGATAATTCTTTTTCATTGCTACTGGTCTATGGAGGCAAGACTTGAAACCACGTTTGCCTGACTCCCAAGTCCAGGCTCCTAACAGATGTGTTGCCAAAGTGACCAGGTGGTGAGAGCAGGGGGATAAACATATAGAAAAGAGGTCTGGCCTGGAGTAACCATCTCCAAATATATGAAGCATTGTCCCAGGAAGGCCAGACCTTGCGGCTTCTCAGGGACATGCCTGTCCAAGGTGTGAAACTTTCTGGATGGGAATTTTGTCTGAAAAGAGGAGTTCGGCTCTTGGATGGCAGAGGGCTTAACTCAGGGGGTCGTAAGCTTGCCCGGCACCAGAGGCACCTGGGTACCTGAGCCCCCCACCTGCATGGTCTCTTGACTCTCACTTTGATGAATTCAGTTTGGTTCAGCCTTTGCGGAGCACCCACTCTGTGCCCTCCGTGGGTGCTGGTGATGAGTAAGACGCGATCCCAGCCCGGGGGCTTACAGACTGGTGGGGAAGGCAGCTTATGTGGTTCTGTTGCTGACTTTTCTTCCCCATGGAGGCTTGCTTAGGGCTGAGGAATGCAAAACGGAGAGGAGTCGCCCATCACTGAGGTGAGAGGAGGTGTGAGGGGTTCAGGCTGGGGATCCCAGCCTGCTGGTCACTTGGTCAGTCATCCCCAAAAGGTCTGTGCTCCTGCCATGAACACCTTCTTCAGAGCGGGTGCTTAAGGGCCCTCCGGGCCGGTTCTTGGGCAGAGCAAAGGGCTTACAGGGCGCAGGACTGCCACCCTCCCCTCTGCCTCTCTGAGAGCAACCTCCTCATCTGCCTAAGAGGGCTTTCAGGGGACTGTCACTGTCTTTCATAAAGCACATTCACTTCTTCCAAGGTGGTAGCACTATGGAGCAAGAATCTCATTCCGGGAGGGCCTGTGGGACCATCTGCCTGGGGGCTTCTAACTTAGAATCCTACTTTCCCTTCCAGCAGGTGCCCAGAGCCCAGGCACCAGGAATGGTCTACAACCAGGAAGCCTGCCTCGTGATGGTCATGGGTGTGGCTCCACCCTGGCTCTCCACTCGCCTCCGGTGCTGGCCTCCACTGCAGTGACTGTCATCCAGGGTCCTGTGTCCCGGAGGTGATGACGGTGGCGGTGACGAAGATGACTGATGATGACACTAAGCAGTGTCTTTGGCACCCAAGCTCTTGTGTGATTGACTCACCAAGTCACCCATCTACCCACCCCCCAGGTCCGCCCTCCTCTCTTAGGCCTCTCCTCGTCCTCATGACTGACATCTGGATGGCCTCTGCCTCCACCCTGGGAGCTCTGAGAATCTCCTGTGTAACTTGTCGAAACTCTACCCATCTGGGCCTCAGCCCTGGACGTCTGACACTATTGGCCTGGGGTGAGGCCTGGACATTTGATTTTGAAAATCCCCAGGAGATTCTAGCATGTGTTAAGAGTTTAGTCCTCCAGCTCAGTGGAGCTTGTGATGTACATGATGATGTCCTGGGGCCTGTTCTTGAGCCAAGCAAGGCTAGCCTGTGCCGTTCCAAGTGAGGAGCTCAGCTTGGATGAAATGGGGCTAGAGGGGCTTGTCTGAGGCTACGGGCAACGGTGTGAATGCTGGGGGAAGGGGTGGCCGGAAGAGGCAGTGCATGGAGCTTCTCATTTTGGAGTTTGTGGTGGGAGTGGGGAGTGGGAATTGGCCTGGTCCTGCCGTTAAGCCCATAAACCAGGGGAGAAAACAGGTTTGGGGCCGCAGAAGCCAGTACCAAAGTGGAGCCTGCTTTCCAGAAGTGCCCAGCTGCAGGGGCCTGGCAGAGGTGGTTCCTGGAGCAGTGTCCCTCCTCCAGATTTCAGAGGCCTTCCCTCCCCCACCTTTTCCCTCAACCTACCTGCTTCCCATTCTTCAAAAGCATTGCAGAGACCACCTGTGATACTGGGATTTATAAGAAGCATGTATTCGATGTTCATCCCTGTTCCTGGCACAGAGCTCCCAAAGTCCTTGGCATTTCCTAAGAGATAAGGGGGTTAAAGGTGTCTTGATATTCATGAGAAGTCCCTTCTAATCACACCTGAGTTGATGTTAATGCGGTAACGCTTGGAAAACCCCTAAAGATGGGTGGTGCCTGCCAGGGAGCCAGTGGCATGATTCTAAGTTAGAACTTTCAGCTGCACTCTGACCTCTGGGGAGTGGGGAGGGCCTGGAGATTGAGTTCAATTACCAATGGCCAATAATGTAATCAATCCCACCTATGTAATGAAGCCTCCATAAAAGCCCAAAAGAACGGGGTTCAGAGAGCTTCTGGGTTGGTGAGCACGTGCAGGTGAGGGGAGAGGGGCACCCTGGAGAGGGAATGGGAGCTCCAGGCCCCTTCTTGCGCTGTGCCCTGTCCATCTCTTCCATCGGCTGTCCTGAGTTATTCCTTATATAATAAGCAGGTACTCCAGAGAGTCAACTATCCTCAATTCTGTGAGCTGCTCTAGCAAATGAATCGACCCAAGGAGGGGTTTGTGGGAAGCTCTGATTTATAGCCAGCCGGTCAGAAGCACAGTAACAAGTTGACTTGTGATCGGTGTCTGGGTTGGGGCAGCCCTGTGGGACTGAGCCTGCAGCTGGTGGGACCTGACCCTCTCTCCAGGTAGATGGTGTCACAGGTGAGTTAGCTGCTTGGCGATGTGGGAAAAAACACACACTGGAATTGGGCTGAGAATCACACCACCTTTTGTAAGAATTCTTCTCTGTGAGCCTGGACTCCGGCGGCTCCAGACGTGGCCCCACCAGCCCAGTTTATTACCTGGTCACACTGCCCTGTGAGGAAACTGAAACTGGTGTCAGATCTAGCATTCCCCAGGAGTTAGTCTGGTGCCAACCCTGTCCCTTGGATTACCCCTCTTCCTACTGCCCCTGTCACGGCCCTGCCCCTGAGGGCTTTTGGCATGTGCATTCTGATGGTCTGGATGCTAAGCCTTACTCTGCCGTCTAGGCTTCAGCTCTCCGTGTGCCTCTCCGTATGCTGCGTAAGTGTGCTGGGCTAGGATGGGCTCATTTAGAACAACATGCTAAATTCAACTTGGTCGGGAATACTCTCAACACACCTCGGGTTTGGAGAACTCCTACATATTCTTCAAGGCCCAGAGGAGATGTTACCTTGTCCATCAAGCCTTTCAGACCTTCCTAGAGTTAACCCTTCCCTTCTGTGCTACCACAGTGTCTTACACCCAGCTCTGCCTCAGCCTGCAGACAGTATGACACTGGCTATTTTGGCATTTGGGGCCCCTGGAGGCTCTGAGTTTTTTGACAGCAGGACTCGGGGTAGGACTATTACGGTATCACAGAGGGGCCAAATGAATGAATGAATGAATGCATGCATGAACAAACAAATGAATCCTTCAATTCATGAAGTTCATTCCCTTAACCATCTGAAACTAGAGTGGGTAAGGTAAAAAGGAGGGAGTGAGGCCTCCATGGTACCCAAAGAAAAGCTCAGGCCACCCAGTTGTCTTAGTCCTGGGCCCAAAGTCGAGGTAGGGCGATGGTGGGCGCACCACAAGGGGACCTTAGCCACTCCAGGTGGGTCCAGCCTCCAGGCCATCCAGCGTCCGGTCCTCTGCTCTGCTGAGGGCAGGGATGAGGTTTGGGTAGGAGGAACCTAACCAGCAGAAAGTTCTTCCTAAGCCTCACTCAGCTAGAAACCTGTGGGCCCCGGGCTCGTGGTATCCTGGGGAAGGGGGCCCGGCCTGGCTTTCCAGCCCAGAGAAGATGGCTGTGCGTGGGACTAATTGGCTTACCCTCCTTCCGCTGCCGGAGAGGCCTGGCTAATTTGCCGGAACGCTCTAGTTAAACGCCAATTAGGACGTTCTGTCCACCGCTCTCTTCCAATATATTAATAATGTAATTAAGCATTTATTGCCTGTGCAAATTAAAAATAACTTAAACGGACAGCCTGGAAAACTGAGGAAGTGACCGCTTAAACAACCAATTTGCATCTCATTCAAGTTTCAACATCTAAACACTAGTCTAGGGTGCTGGTTTGGCCTTCAGGGCGGGGCCCAGCAAGCTGCCAACAGCTGCTGGATTCTCCTTCTCCAGGCCTGATTCTGGCAGCCCTGGCCTCTCCACCCTGCCCACGCCGAGGTGTGAGGCCATGGCCTTGCCCCAGATGAGCAAGAGGACTATCTGCCAAGTGGCCACCTCAGCTCCCAGCATCCCTGCCCCCTTTTCTCTGGGGTATGGTGTGGATTTCAGTGAAAGGAGATGCTATGGGGGTGGCTGGGAGGGGGCATCCATGGAAGACCTTGCTACTCCCACCCCAGGATCGATTTGTCCTGCATTCCAGCCCAGGAGATGGGAAGCAGATGGTGCCAGCCTGGGGAGGGGAGGTATCCCAGAGACTAGGAGACCTTCCCTCCGACCAGCCCCCTGGAGGGATGGGGGGGTGGGTTTACAGAGAGCTTGCAGGGGACGGGGCCCCACGGTATCTTCGAAATAGAAGATGAAAGGATAAAGTTCCCCATCTCTTCTGTCCCCAGTCTGTCTAACACGACAGGTGTGACACTGCTGGTTTTCTTCTCCAAACAGCCACCACAGGGGACTTGGCAGGAAGGATCAGGGCAGCAGGGAGTGGGGTGAGAATGGAACTGGAGAGGGCCTGCGCGGGACAGAGGGCTGCAGCCAGCACCCGTCCTGGTCTTCTCTGTCAGCCTGGCCTCCCCGGCCCCATGAACTTGAAGGCCTCCCAGCCTGGGCCTGCAGGGCCAACCCTGCCCCATGCCGCTGTCCATGGCCTCCCCACGCATGTGGAAGATGTTTCAGTGGCAGCCTGGGAGCTGCAGGTGTGGGGCTCCCACAGGAAGGCGGCTTGTGCAGGGGTCTGTGTGTCTGTCCCGGCCACAGACCCGGCAGCGGAGGCCCCCTTCCCTTCCCTTTGAGCCCCGTCGCCACGGCTGTGGGAGAAGCATGGTCACTGCAGGGGAGGGGAGGAGCGACTGAGGCAACCAGGTCGTTTTAAACACTTTATTTATAAAAAAGTACATTTTTTTTCCTCAGTACACTTTTCAATGCATCATTGTTTGTTTGTTTTTTGTTTTTTTTTATACAAGTAAAAGGGGGTGAGGCAAACACCCCCTGGGTCAGAACCAGGAGAATCTGCTGGGCCGTCCCCGGGACTAGAGACAAAAATGGTGACAAAGAAACTGAAGCGAAGGGAGCACATCACACAGGTGAGGGGTGGCAGCTTCTCCTGGATTTTGTTTCCATTTATACAAAAAAAGGAAACCATTTTTTTTCGGCCAAGAATCCCGCCCGTTCCTCACAGCAGGAGTCGGAAGCACAGCAGGCCTGGGGGCAGGGCTCCTCTGGCCTTACCACCGGGAGGCCCAGCAGCCCTCACTGCCTGCACCAGGACGCCCGGTGCGCCCACCCGGTGCACCCACCTAGCAGAGGCTTACTGGAGGCAGCCAGGCTTTGGAGGTCTCTGTCTGGCGCCCCAGAGGCCCGCGGCATGCACGCCCCTGCTCCCAGGAGAGCTGCCCACATCCAGCTAACACGATTCCTGGTTCCTCTGCTTGGAGGATGGCAGGAAAATTATTGTACCAGTGACTTGGGCACATGGGAAGGGGTTGGCAGAGGGGGCACGTGCCTGGGAAACGGGGCCCCTGTGAGTCTCTTTTGTGGCCTGAGCTCTGGGACACCAGTTTCTCCTTGAGGGCTTTCAGCAGGACCAGCCCATTCCTCTGCATGTCTGTGCACTTGGGTGGGGCCACCTGTGCTTGGGTCTGTTGGAGGCATGTGTGCCCCCCGCGTGCCCATGTACTGGGCCCAAGGTGCCTGGGATGACTGATTTCAGCTGCTGCTTTTCAGGTGCTTCTGATACAAGGGGACTCAGACGGTTCTGCTACACATTAGAACAATACCAAAATCTTAAGGAAGGGGATATACGGGGAGTGGGAGGCAAGGGCAGGGAGGGCAACAAGAGGCAGGATGATAACTGGGGAGGCCTTGGCACCACTGATACCAAGTTTATTTCATTTCCAGTAAAGGCAGAAGCTCAGCTCAGGTTGGGAGCATGGAAGAGAAGCAAAATGTGTGCATCTCTCTGCTGGGCCAGGCCTCCCCTTGGCCAGTTGGCTGTGTGTGTGGGCCCAGCAGCAGTGCCCTCCTTCCCACAAACTTGGGGCACAGAAAACCCCATCTCCTAGGCCCAAGTGCCAACCCCTGCCTCATGCCTGCTTTTGGCCCTGGGGGGCAGTTGCTCTCCTTGGGTTGCTGCTGCTGGGCTCCCAGCAAGGCAGGGGCCTCCCACACGACCCATGCATGTGGCATGGACCCCACAATTTGTGCTTTGCTTGAGGGGGGCATGAAGGTATCTTAGGGGGGACTCAGTGCTTTGGCTCGGCCCAGGGGCCTCGTAAGTCCATCACATACTGAGGATGGGGTGGCAGTGCAGTAAGGGAGACACAGGAGGCGTCCTTTCAGTCTTGAGGTTTCAAGGGGACAGTGGATGCCTCTACCAGGCAGGCCCCTAGGACTTCCTCCTGTCTGGGGCAAGGGCACCAAGCAGAGGAGCCAGAGTGGCATGGGGTGGGATGGGGCAGTGCTGTCACATGGAAAAGGTCCTCTGTCCTGGGGGGACACTAATACTGCTGCGAGAAGCAGCCCAGTTCTTCCACACCCGCCCCTCCCCCTCTGCCCCCGGGCCCTGCGGCTAGGAAGACCCCAGAATTTCCCACCCCAGCTCCATCCCATCCAGTACTCCCAGTACCGAGAGGAGAGAACCACCCCGGGGCTGGCATGGCTTCAGACTTCTGCTACGTGGCTACTGGGCGGCCTGGGCTGGGGCTAGGGCAGGGGGTGCTGGGCAAGGGGCGCCTGGCTGATGGGCCCGGGGCTGCCGGGGCAGAGGTGGAGCCGCTGGGCTTCAATAGCAGCACCAAGGAGCGGGGAGGAGGGCAGGGGCTGGGGCTCCCTTGGGAAGCCTGTGGCGGGGAAGGCCAGTGCCCGTGGGGCACACAGTGCTCTGCCTCCCTGCCCCCCAGACACTTGTCATCCCTCGGAGCCCCCTGACAGCCTGGGCTGAGTTAACTGGATCCTACTGGGCAGGCACAACCCTGCTTCTCCCATCCCAGGGCTTTTCCCATCTCGAGTTCCGGGGGGACTGGGGTAGGCAGATGGAGGAACTGAGGCACTTTGAGCTGGGGGACTGAGGGCTGGGGGGGCCTTCCCCCACTTACACATGGGAAGACTGAGTCCTGGGCGACTGACAGGAACCCAGAGCCCTGTTTGGGAGGGAATCTACAACTCAAAGGGGAAGCTTCTCCAAGGTTACCCCCTCCCAGAATAGAGACTGAGGGACAGCTGGGCAGGGGGTGAGAGCGGCAAGCAGGAGCTCCGACTCAGGACCCCTGGCCACCCCGTGCCCTCATACTTTCTGACAAGCCCAGAACATTTGCACCTGCCTTCGAGGGGGAGGTGCTACCTGCCCTCTTCAGTCTCAGACTGTTTGCAGAGCTCCTGTCACGCAGCCTTCCTTCTCCAGCGCTCTCCACCTCAGTACTTGTCGACCTCTAATTCCCGGAGGCATCTCCTTCTGGCATCCTAGCCCTGACTCCCCAAGAGAATCAAGAGTTGCTAGCATGAAATAGATGATGGAGAAATCCAAGAAACTCCTCTGCTGTGAGAAGCACTTAAAAGGCAGCCTGAGGGTGCCGGCCCCTGGGCTGGAGGTTCTGGGGGGGTCCAGCCTCAGCTCTCCTAGAAGTTTCTGAAGGCCACGCCTATCCTCAGCTGGGAGGGGGTGGAGGCGGAGCGGACAGGGGCAGGCTGTGGGCAGTGTCCAGCCTGGGTAAGGTGTGTGACCCCAGGGGGAGCACAGGGTAGACATGAGTGGCGTGAGTGCACGTGGGTATGGGGATGTGTTGGTAGAGGCGTATGGGAAGTGTGGGTTGGAGCCCGCCTGGAGTCCCACTGGGTGGAGGGCAGGCCCGGGTAAAGGGGAGACACACCCGAGCTGGGCCAACTTCACTCTCTGTAGGCCAATGAGGAAAAAAAATGTAAAACCAGCCTCACCAGGAAAACATACTGCCCAAGGCCCCAGGTGGGACCTCAACTCGATTCACTGAACGAACAAGACAGCATGGATGCTTTGGAGAAGCCCCTCCCCGCCCACCTGCTGAGTGTAATGCTGTCTAGACTTGGGGTCCAAGTTCCTGGCTGCCCATGGTGGGGGGGTGTTGGGTTCCCTCTCCCTGGGAAAAGAGGAGCAGCATCTGGGGGCAGGGGTGGTGGGGGCTTCTCTCCTTAGAGCCCCTTCAGCTCTGCACCCCCAATGGAGAGAACACAAATTCCAGTGTTGGGGGGCGGGGGAGGGCTGGCTCCCCAAACCCTGGAGCAGGCCCAGGTACACAAGACAGAACAGAGCTCCCTGCACAGGGGGCAGGTGGAGGGGTCGGGGCTGGGGTGGGGGGAACAGCAACACCAAAGCCACAGTGAACACACCACCACGGGGAGGGCTGGGGACCGGAGGAAATCAAAACAAAGCCAGGTGGCATCTGCCCTGGTCTCCCCGCTGCCCACAAGTGCAGGGCCGGCTTTGGGCAGTTGGGCGAGTCTCTGTTGAGCTCCTGGAGGAGTGGGGGGGGCGGTCGGGCATGGGCAGGGGGCGTGCGGGTTGGGCTGGGGAGAAGGGGGTGCAGACAGAGGCTCTGGAGAGGGGGGCTACACGTACCACTCCTTCTTGGAAATGAAAGACCCGTCGTTCTGAGAAACCATGTTCTCGGCCAAGTCTAGCTGCTCAGGGTCGTACTGGTAGCCCAGGGTCCGGTCCCCGTAGCCCTCCTGACGGGCCTCCGCCTCATCCACCGTGAAGTAGGGCCGCTTGGCGTCCTCGTCGTACTTGGGGTGGGGGCCGCCCGCCTTGCGCTCGCCCCCTCCGCCGCCGTCCTCTTCCTCCTCCTCCTCGTAGCTGCTGCCTCCCAGGGGTCCAGCCTTCTTCTCGTCGTCCGAGTCATCCGGGTACTGCAGGTTCTGGGCCATGGGCGGGTGGTGCTGCGGGATGCCCGCCTTGCTGTAGCCGTTGCCATACACGTGCTTCTTGGTGCTGTAGTCGCCCTTGAAGGTGTGACGGCGCCGGCGCAGGGCGACCACGATCCCGCCGACCACGATGAGCACCAGCAGGACGCTCCCCGCCACGCCCCCAATGATGGCTGTGGGCACCGGCCCTGTGCGCCGCCCGTGCTCGGAAGGAGATGGGGTGTAGGGGAATTCTGGGTGAGGGAAGGAGATGGAGGGGGACAGTCAGTGTCTGCTCCTAGGGGGTTGGTGGGAGTGACGGGGAGGCAGGGGAGGGAAAGGCCTGGGGGTGAGGTGTCCCAAGCCCCGGAGCCTCGGTGCTAACTTGCTCCTGGGATGTGGTGCCAGCCCAGGTTGCCTCTGCGAGTGGTGCGCAGAGGCCCAGGTGCCAGCTCAGCCTGACCCAGTGTCCGCTAGACGAGTCACCATTGCAGCCCTCCGTGGAGCAGGTGTGCTATGATTTCCACTAACACCCGAGAGGAGGCTTAGGCTAAATAACTGTCCAAGGCCACCAGCCAATGATGCAACGTTGTTTCCCTTGCATATAAAGCTTGTGAAAACATCACCACTGCCCCACTGCCCGACGTCAGCTGGTCACTGTGCCCCAGGACCACGCACTGGCTTCCTAACTCGGAGCCTGGAGCAGACTGGGGGCCCCATGCCTGATTTCATTTGCACCCAGCGTACAGGGAAAAGGACGGGTTCCCAGGTGCTGGCCCCGTGGATGCCCGTGAGTGCCAGAAAGTTAGGCTGTGGTTCTTGGCTGCGGTCTGGCCCTTGAGGGCAAGGTGGGGAGCTGGGGGTGCTGCCAGCCTGGGCTATGAGCAAGACGCTCAGCACGGCTGTGCAGTAAGTGGGCGTGAGAGCATGTAGGCATGTAGCAGAGATGCCGAGTGTACACAAGAGGGCACGTGCCCGGGTACATGCCCTCGTCAGGGCCAGCCCATTCGACTGTCCTGATGTGACTATGTGCATGTGTAAATGTGCACACTGAGGACACAGTGAACGCGAGAAGGCAGGGTGAAAAGACAAACGATGCAGGTGCGTGGGGGAGAGAAGGCTGGGTGGGTGACTTTCTCTGTGAGGCCGACCCAGAGTATTACTGTGTTCTGGACAGCGCTGCCTCTGCTCTCCTCCCAGGGCCGTGCTTGAGGCCCAAGAAGGTCCAAGGCGGGGCTGAGGGAGGCGGTTCCCAGCACCACCACAGGGGGGCACCGGAGACCACAGCTGGCCTGGGTCAGGGGTGCTGGCGGGCAGGTCCAGGGCAAGCCTGGAGGGCTGTCCTCGCCTCTCCTCTTTCGAGGCCAAGGTAAAGGGTCGGTCTGGGCATGTGTTCTGGCCTCTGGGAGTCCGTTTCTGCCAGCTCACGCCCTGATTCAGCATCACTCACTCCGTGGGAATCTTGTTTCTCCTGGGGGCTCATCCCTTCCTCCCAGAGGTGGAGCCGCCTGTGGATGGGAGCGCGCACGCAGAGATTCTGGGAAAGCAAAGGAAGGGCTTTCCAGGAGTTCAGGCTGGAAGGGCTAATGAAACACGGGGCCCAGAGAAGGCAGGCGATTTGCTGGTGGTCACGTGGCTGAGCTGGGACCACCCAGAGGCTCCTGTTCTGTTCTGTCCACGTGCAGGAGTTGCCAGAGAGAAGCACAGCTCCTGAAGAGTCCGCCTCCCACTGTCACCACTGTGTCCTCAGTGCAGGTCACTGAGTGGCTGCCCAATAAATATTTACTGAATATTTGTCCTCACTGCCTGCTTCCAGAACAGTTTCCCTGTAACCTTGAGCTTCTCCTGCTTCACCAGATCCCATCTGTTACTGCCTTTGGAAGGGCTGCACATCTGCTTTGCGTGGTGGGTGCTGCCTCCACAAAGGGTGCCCAGGAAGCAGCTGGCAGGCACCCAGTCTCTGCCATCCTTTCCACCTGCCTGCTACCTTTTCAATTCTCAGTCCATAGCTGAGTGCTGCCTCCTCTCTTCACCTGCCTGATCACTCCGCCCCCACCCCCTGTCCAGCTAATGGGCAAACATCTACCAAGCACCTATCTTGCTAGTCGCAGAACACAGGGGACTCATAGCCTAGGTGGGGGACCAAATGACTCTCAGACAAAGCAGCATGCCGATGTCATGGCACTGGCTGGAACGCAGGGAAGAGCCCTGTGGCCTGGAGGTACAGGAGGCTACCTGGAGGGGAGAAGACTTCAGCCAAGCCTTGAAGGATGGCACAAGCCTTGGAGAGGCTGAGAGGATAAGGCAGGCACCCAGCTGGACGGACCTGCCTGTCCTTTCTGACGCATTTCTCTGGTGTCCCAACACAAGAGTTCCTTGACTCTTGGCTTTCCTCTCCAAATGACTGTCTCCACCTGCATGGCTGAGCCTTGTCTCTGCTCCCACCTGCCTGCCTGGCAGCCCTGTCCCTGGACCTTCAGCCCTGACGCTCCTCTGCTTTCTTTCCTAGTGACAGACGTGGTCTCAGCGTCATGAGGTCCCTTTATCCTGCCGGCTCTCCAAACCATCTTGGGAATAAAGCTCTCACCCAGCTCTGGGACTTTATCTGCCACAGTCTCTGGGACAGTACTTCCCAACCTGTGGCCCACGGAACCTCAAGCCATTGGCTCAGAGAGGGTCAGCAAAAATACTGGGCTCAGACACTTTGGGGAAATGTTGGTTTAGACAAAGCATTAGAGCCCTTCGTCTTCTCAAACCCACACTGTGAACTATGAGAGGGGCATGTAGGGTGCAGTGTTTCCCAGCCTAACGGAGCATGAACCCCACCCTTCCTGACTCAGGGGCGATTCACAGGGCTAATACTTGGACACACTCTGAAAACTCTTCCTTAGCACATCCTCGTTCGGAATTCTCTCCATCACCTCAAAACTCATCGGTCCCAACCCCGCTCACCATCTTCCCTCCAAACCCTTTCCGAGGAACACTCCCACCACTTGTCTGCTCTTCCAGCTCCCACCTCCTTTATCTTTGGCTCTTTCTTCTTCGCCTCTTGGGGACAGTCTGCCATCAAGTGTTCTTCACTCTTCCTGTTCAGTATCTTATCACTTCATGCCAGGTTTACTGTTGAAAATTCCTGGATCTTCCACCTTCATTGGGTTTTAGTCCTCTTTGTCACTCCGTCCACAGTCGCCATGTTAATGTTCACTGTGTAGACCCCGCCATTCCCTTTCTCAAAGACTAGCAATGATGCCCTATTGCCTGCTGGGCCACGCCAGGCTGGTCTTCGAAGCTTCCCTCATGCAACTTGATCTTGAGATTGGCCAACTCACTGTCCTTGCTGTGCATAATTGATTCTTAACTGCAAACCTTTGCTTAGGCTGTTTACCTTGTCAGGAAAGACCTTCTGCCTCTTTCAGGTCTTCGTCCCTGCTGTGCGCAGTCTTCTCTTTTCCAGCTCACATTTATATTTTCTCTAGGGTTTTTATGCACTAATGGTCTGCACCTCTCATTCTGGTATGAACAGCAGCTAATTGCATTCTGCTAACCAAGTACTGACGTATTATAGTAAAGCCTGTGATAAAGCACCTCACACTAAATGCAAATTAGGATCTACCATGATTGGCTCTGGTCTTTCTGCCAATTTTCAAATGGCTAACATTCTTCTCTTCTGTAGGCACAAGGAGTGGGACTGAGGAAGTGGCAGCCTCATGACATCTGGGATGGACTCGATTCAGTGTGCTACACGTGTGCACACTAAGTTCCGCTATATGTACTTGCATGCTTTCTGTGACAGCAGACACCCAATGAGAAATAAAGCTTTCGTACATTTTACTTGACTAGATTGAATCTTTTGGACTCCACTAATCACAGTACAGTAGAGATTACTTTATTACCTGTTTCACGAGAGTGGCTATATCCCAAACTGGTCTGTAAATTTGAATTCACAGTCAATCTAGAGCCTGACCACTTTTCTCCATCTCCATCACTACCACCCTGATCCAAGCCACTATCACCTCTCCCTGGATTCTTGCAATAGCTGCCTAGCTGGCTTCCCTGATTCCACCGTTTCCTCTATAGACTATTGTCAACACAGTAGCCAGGGATCCTGTTAAATCTGGAGAACTTAAAATACTTCTACATGATCTCTGCCTCTGCCCCTCACCTCTGGCTTCATCTCTTGCTTTCCAAGCCTACACAGGGTCTTAGCAATGGCTGCTCTACATCCCGGAAGGCTCTTCCTCCCGGTGTCCCACAGTCACTCTCTCACCTCTTTCAGGGCTTGGCTCAAACTGCTTGCCCACGTCACCTCCTCACCAAGGCCTTTGCTGATGACCCTGTTTAAAATCACGGCTCACGAACTCCCACCCCCAGCACTTGTGGCCTCTTTATCCTGTTCTTCTTTTTTTCTCCATGTCACCTTCCAAATGACCACGTACTTTTTCAAGCATATTTTATCTATTGTTTGTGGTCTGTGTCCTGTGCTAAACCATAAGCTCCACAGGGACAGGGGCTTTGTTTTGCTCACCGATGTATTCCCAAGAACACAGACTGTCTGACACAGGGCTGGAGTTCAAGAATATTTGTCAAATGAATTCTATAAAGACAGGGCTGTGTCTTAGAGGTAAGACTCTGTAGGGCCTTCTGTTCCACTTCCCCCTGCCCCCCAAGTGCCAAGGAGGTTTATTCTTCCTTGGGGATCTTTTGGGGCCTAAGGGAATCCTCATTATTTTGGTGACTTTAGGGCCAGGCTTGCCTAGCTGACCTTCCAGCACTGCAGACCTCAAGGTGAACATGCCAAGTGATGGTGCAGAGAGAGTAGACATGGGGATCTAACTCATTTGCAAGCAAAGGTGGCTGTCTGGTATGGCATCGGGCACCATCCCCCCCATCCCTTCAGCCCTCACATTGAGCTAGCAGCTCCTATCTGTGTGCCAGGAGCAGAGCCTCAAGGGCCACAGCTGGTAGGGGCAGAGAAGAGCTGGGTGGTGGGGTCATTTGTGCTTGCTGGTGGGGACCCAGCTGGCCTCCCTTAAATTCTCTTTCAAAGGGGACAGCTTGGCCCCCATTCCTGAAGGGCTGCAGCTTCCCTGCTGGGACTGCAGGCTGCCCAGGTCCCTGGGGAGGTGAGAGCTCTGCATCCTCTGGGGCCGGGGTTTCCTGGCTGAGGTAAGTGGGCTGACAGGGGGGCTTTGGTTGGATCTGAGGTGAAATGAAGGTTATAGTCTGGATCTAGGATCTGGAGGAGGTTTGGGATCAAAGAGAATGTTTGACCTTGCTTCTAAATCCAGCGCCTGGTGCTTCCTCAGGCAGGCAGGAAATGCCCTGGTATCAGAAGCTTAGGCGGGAGGCTGTGAGAACTACACCTCCCAGCGTGCAATGCGGGCCGCCGCAGGGAGAGTGGGAAGGCCTGCAGCCAGACTCTGGGAAGCCCTTTTTCTCCTCCTGCAGCTGCAGCAGCTGTGCAGCGCATCAGACACCAGGCAGGGCCTCATCAAGCTGGAGGAGAACCGAATCCTCCCAGGGGTGCAGATGCAGCTGCCTTCTCTCTGATTCCCCGATGCTCTGCTGTCTACCAGCCTGGAGATGGGTGCGTTTGCCCACAGCACAGCTGCGGCTGGCGTTTGCACACTCAGCACGCAGATGGGCACTCACCTGCTTGCCAGTGCGTGCTTACACGCTCAGGGGCACACACCCACTCACTGTCAGGCTCACACAGCCCCTTCCTTCCAGATGGACCTTGAAGCTCCACCAACCTGTGGTCTGAAGAACCCCTGATTAATGAGCGGACCCTGTTACCTTCACCCCAAGTGATCATTCCCAACAGATGAGCCAGGGACTTCACTGGCAATGGGAATTAGGACAGACACCCTGCATCCTGGTGGCCTCTCTGCCTGACTCCTGGGAGTGGCCTGGACGCTCTCCTCCTGCCGTCCTCGGTCCCAGGGACAAATGCTATCTCATTTGGCCTCTTTGGCCATTCCTTGGGCACCCCCTCCACCCTCAGTATTACCCCAGGGAACGGGGGTATTTCCTCAGTTTGTTTTGTGACAGCTGGGCCAACCCCATGAAATTGCCTCAGAAATGGGCTTCTCGGAGGGTCCTGGACCTCAAGGAAATGTGAACACAGATTCTAGGGAGTTTGCACCCCCAACCCCTGCTCTACCATCCCACAGCCACAGCCGAGGCCTGTTGTTCCCCACTAGGGAAACCCTCACTGTATAGCCTCTAACCTGGTCTACCCACACAGCCTCCGAAATGCTCAGTCTAAACCACCCGCCTCGCCCCACTGTGTGTCTGCTGAGAGCCCTTCAGGGGCTCCCCTTTGCCAACAGACAGAAAGCTCTGCTCCTCCATTCCTGCCCCCTCCGCTCCAGCCATTTCCTTCCCACATGCTTCCCTGACTGGGAACCCCGACCTCCATCACTGCCCTCGCCTCCTCACAGGGATGACTCAAGTGTCACCTCCTCCAGGGTCTGGGACCCCGTGAAGCCTGTGCCAAAGAGTGTCTGTGCAGGCAGCGCAGTGTCGCCCTGCACATGCATGTGTCCTTGGCATGCAACCTGCTGTGTGCCTCCCCCGGCCCTGCCCCAGCTGCTCTGTTCTTTGGTTCCCTCTCCAGATGTGCCCAGGGCAAAGCTATCACCTGGACGGACAGCCAGAATGAAAAATTAAATTTCCACTTATCCATCTCGCTCACGCATTCCCTCTAGACCAGTGGGGCTTGGAGCACAGGGCATGGTTGTGACCCTCCACTGGGCCCCCAGAGGACGTGACAGGCCCCTGCTGAGGTGGGGTGGAGGCTGGTGGGGTTGGCTCAGAAGCTGCCCATAAGCACAAGAACAAACAGCTTGGAACAGGCTCAGGCTGTGGGCCGAGGACTCCGGAGGGGGCCGAGACGTTCCTGTAGGACGCCCAGCTAAGCAGCTCCTGTGCCATTGATGATTCAGTGAGCTTCACACTTCCCTGGCTTCTGTCTAATGGGGCTGTCAAAAAAAGTGCCCTCATGCAAGGCCCTTCTCGCCTCCCATGTGGCTATGCGTGTGTCTTTTGTTACCACCCCTGTCCGCTCTGTACTTCCGGGAAGCACAGGAGGACATGCCGTGTGCCTCTTCCAGCTGGAGCCCTGGGCGGCCCCAGCCCAGCTGCCCTCAGGCCACCTGGGCCTCAGCCCAGATCCCACGGAGGGCACCACTGCAGCTATTACCCACCTTCCCCCCACTGGAGGTGGTTTCCACAGCGGTTTCTCATCCTTCCTGTTCTCTCTTTTCTGTGGCCTGGGCTGGGGAAGGGCCTCTTTCCCTTCCCCCTTGCCCCCGGGCCTGGTGTGACTGCCCAGTCAGCAGCCCTGCCCCACGGTCACCCTGCATCCTCTTGACCTTAGGGACAAGGAGGCCCTGACTTTCTCGTCCCAGCTGGGTAGCACCACTCAGCCCTGTAAGTCTAGCAGGGCCTCTGGCCAGTCCGCTCCTGTTGGGAAGCAGAATGAATGGGAGGCTGTGGGTCTTGGGTTTCTTGGGCTCCTCCCCTGATTTCCCAGTCAGCAGTGTCCAGGGAAAGCCTTGGTGCTGAAGGTGGCCCACCATCAGGGGAGGTATCACCCCCTTGTGCCAGGCAGTGGGATACAGATTTGGTGTGAACATAAGCTGAGCTAAGTATGACTATCTCCATATCACAGACTAGGAAGCTGAGACTCAGAGAAGTGAAGGACTTGCTGAAGGGCACTGAGTCAGGAAGACGCAGCAAGTGAACACACTCAGGCCGGGTCTGTCCTGTCACTCATGTGACATGCTCCCCTGCAGGGTGGGCCTGCTCCCTGTGAATGCTCCTCATCCTTGTCTGCCCCGGGGCGCCAGGGTCAGAGCTCAGACACCTATGAAGCTTTTACTGAGCTTTGCTCAAACTTTCTGTGTGTGGCTCAGGCCCTCCCATCCTGGCCAACCTATGGGAACCCCCAAACCCTAGCCTTGGGAGGGCTGCCTCAGCTTTCCCAGGCACCACCTCTCACGGTTCTACTATCTTAACTGCTCAGAGAGCCAAGGCCAGGGAGTCGAAGAAAATAGCAAATGAGAAGTGACGTCACGCTCCTTCCTGCCCCTGGTGAGAGGTGACAGAATGGCCTTAAGGACAGGTAGGTGTAGCCCCTGGACAGCTTTGGGCTGCTCTTCTGCAGCTGTGCTCTGAATGTATCCTTCAATGAGGGCCCCCATTTGTAAGACATAGGTTCAGAGCTAAGGACTCCTCAGCATGTCCAGGCCCTGCACCTGGAGCCGGGTAACCATCTCCAACTCCCTCGGGTCACTCCCTGTGCATGACATGTCCCTCTGATGTCACTTCCGGCCCAGCTCAGCATCAGTGTGTCACTACTTCCTGTCCTACGAGGTTCTTTCTGCCCCTTTCTCACCCTGCAACTAGTTCAGGTACCGATGTTAAAGACACTCCCTCTTCTGGTTGTGAAGTTGTGATGGCAATTTACTCCTCTATTGGCTCATTTTGATCCTTTCGTTGATATAGATAATGACAGAGGTCAAGATAATAATCACAGAGCATGGGCCATTTATCGACAGACTGGTCTGCGCTAGGTACCTGGCCCACATTAAGTAAATTCTGACAACAAGCCTTCAAGGCACACTGCATCACCCCCATTTTACAGGGGCTTTGTCCAGGACCCCAGTTGTCTGGCACTGAAGCCCATGCTCCTTTCAGGTCCCATGTGATGTCACCCCTGGAACACCCTAAGTCCCTGGGCTCCCTTTGCCCTGAGAGCTCAGGTGGCTGGAAACATCCTTACATCTGCACTGACAGAGAGAAAGATGCAGGCAAAAATAGCAATTCCGTCAGAGAACACACACATCACCACGGCTTTGGGCCATATCCGGGCTTTCCCTCCAGTATCCCTGCTTGAGGTAAGCTTGCCCTCCAGCCCATGTGGGTTTCCTGAATGCGGGAACGGGGCTTGGAGGGGGGCTCCTGCAGTCACCCCCATGAAGCCATCATCCCACAGCCAGTGGCTCTAACTTCTACTCCCCTCCCTGACAGCACTGCCGTAAACAGCATTCACTTCTCCCTCATGTAGCCCCCTCCTGCTTCCTTCTGACTGGGGGACCTCCCATCTCACACGCGGCCTAACAGAGGAAAGAGAAAAGCAAAATAAGACCAATGGCCAGAGCTCACGGGAGAACCAGGAGGCAGGACAAGGAGATGGACTCCCTGCAGTGAAACGACCTAAAGGTGGGGGACGTGGCAGCAGAGGAGGAAGCAGTGGGTGGCGAGGGGCAGGGAAGGGTGCAGCTTGCTACCTGTGACATTGACCTCCACCTGGCCCGAGCGGGTGCCGATGGAGTTGGTGGCCTCGCAGACGTAGGTCCCAGCCAGGCTGTAGTTGATAGGTCCCCTGAAGAAGAGGGTTCTGTTCTGGGCCTCCACGCCCCTGGGGAGAGAGCCGTTCAGCCTGCCGGGATGAAGGACATAGCAGAGGCTTAGGACTCTCCAGCCAGAGGAAGCTGCCCCGGTCACCCACCTGACTCCAAGACCACAGCCTTTTCGCTGAGTGGACAGGCAGGGTCTGTCTTGGAAGGAGGAAAAGACGAACAACCACAATCTCTCGCATTTGGCAGTTTAACATTTGATCAATGCAGCACTGAAATGTGGACGGGACAGGTAAATACTGGTCCCACTTAATAGATGAGGAACTTGGGGTTCAAAGCCAAGGAAACACAGCTAGTCAGCGACAGAAGCAGAGTTCTGGACAGATCTTTGGACTCCCCACTTAATAGATGAGGAACTTGGGGTTCAAAGCCAAGGAAACACAGCTAGTCAGCGACAGAAGCAGAGCTCTGGACAGATCTTTGGACTCTGGCACAGTGATCTTTCTATGACTTGTGGTTCCTGGTAGGTGGTCCTTGGCTTCCTGGGTAGCTGGTTAGTAATACAGAGGTCTGAGTCCTAACGCCAGATCTATTAAAGCTGAACCACTGGACCCATGGCCTGGAAATCTGTATTTTAACAAGCTACTCAGGTAATGTATTGTGACCCACATTTGTGACTGTGTTCCACTTCACTGTCTCTCCTGGTGGGCATGTCACAGGCCTTTGCATGTTGGGAGCAGCCTCGAAGTTTCCTGAATATAGAGGACCTTCTTCCTTCCTCCTGATGCCCGGTGCCACAAAGCTATTAATCTGCTGGACCTTGCGGCTTCTTGGTCCAGGGGGCTGAAACTGGCAAGCAGGCCCTGCCCACTCCCACCTTTAGCAGCACTGCTGGTTCTAAGAGGAGGGTTCTAAATCTAAATAGCCAGGGCCTGCCAGGGCCCTGCACACCCTGGGAGAGGGTGGAGACAGTCTGGGCAGCCATCTCTTGGCCACCCAAGTCGACCTTCTTCTCTCCATGGCCTGTCTTTCTGTGTGTTCCATCCCCCTCTTCTCTGGGAAGAACCCTGGCTCAGAGCTGGCTAGGCGAGGAGACTGGACCCTTTGAGGGACAAGCCCCAAAACCATGAGGCCAAGAACGGGATGATGGGATATGGGGCCAGTGCTCTATGAACACAGGCCTTCTGGGCTGACTGTGCCTCCTCCCTTGAGGATCTGGGGGTGCTGGAGAGGAGGAATAGGAACAAAGGGAGATCTGGGGTGCTCCAGAAAGGCAGCTCCCTGGGACACCTTGATAAAAATAAATACTGGGGGCTGGGGTGGGAGTGACTCAGACTGAATCACCAATGAAAAGGGCAAAATTCTTTATTAGGGAGAAGAAGGATGGCGGATTGTGCGGGAAGCCCCCCTGCTAGAATGGTTTGTCCCACTGGCCCTGATGCTGTTAACAAGAGGGTGTATTTTGGGGGTCTCTCACCGCACTTCCCCTTCTCACTGGGAAACCTGAGTCTGGACTCTAATTTCCTGCTTGACTGAGGCTCCTGGAGGTGGGGTGGGTGGGCTTCTGGGCTTCCCTGTGGCCAGCAAGGTACCTTGCAAGGTGACTGGCCAGCCCCACACCACTTACGTGGTCCAGTGGTACTCGGTGGCTGGGGGGTTAGCATCAGCTTTGCACGTGAGCCTCACATCCATCCGCTGCAGGTACCAGTTCCCATCAAACCCCTGGATGGTCACCTCGGGTTCATCTGTGGGGCAAGGGATAATGTTTGAAAAGGGTGAGGCCAGAAGAGCAGGACTTGGGGTGCAGGAGCCTCAGACAGGGAAGGGATGGAAGGGACAGTGACATGGAAACAGCTGCAAGAGGGGGAAGCGTGAAGAGGAGGGTGGAGATTGCAGACTCTACAAGCAGAAGCGGCAGGGGAATGAAGAAGCAGAGAAAGGGGGAGCGAAGGAGGAGCCAGGAAGAGAAGAGGGGAGGACAGAGCACCCCAGGGAGGGAAGGGGAGGAGGAAGGGGCGGGCAGTGCAGGAGCTGAGGAGCAGGGGAAGAGGGGCAGGTGTGGAGAGGCGGTAGGCCCACCCTGAGGCCCTCCACAGGCTGCCCCACTCACACTGCACATTGAGGGTGAGGCTCTCCCGGAAGCGGTCCATGTGGTAGTTGACGACGCAGGCTAGGGACTGCTGGTGGGCTTCCCGGCTGGGCACGAGGCGGTAGCGGCTGATGACGGTCACGGTGCCATTGGGGTTCCGGATCTCCTGGTACTCCGCCTCGCCCTTCAGCCGCGTTTCCCAGGACACCACACTGGGAGGCTTCCCATTGGCTGAGGTGCAGGTGGCCACCAGGACCTTGTCATCCTGCCCCTTCTTGGCCCGCAGCACTGCCTGGGTGCCCTCTATCCAGCTGGTGGGTTTGGCTGCAGGGAACCAGAAAGCGCATGGGACTGGCTCTACTTCCTTGTCAGAGAGCCGGGCCCAGGAGAGTACGTCCCAGCTGCGCCTCCCTCAGGCTGCTCTGGCCAGCCTCCCTCTCAGCTGTGCTTCCCCAGAGCCCCTCCCAGCACTTCTCACAGGAACTTCTGCACGTCTAACCTCCGTTGTTCCTGCTCTACTATTTGTATTACCTTTTGTCAAGCGGAGGCCTTTATGGCGTCTTGGCGTGCCCAAGGCAAGTGGCTCAAGACGTTCTTTCCTCTGCTTCCCGGCCACCCACAAAGTGCCCCACGGTGGGGTTCCAACCTGAACACCAATCCTCAGCTCTGTGCTCAGCTAAGGTCCCGGCCCCAGTCCCCAGACTACTGTGGACAGCCTTGCTGGAAGCACCATGACTGGAGCTTGGGGAGCAGGCCCACCCATGGAGGACGTCTGGGGCCAGTGAGGCCCACAAAGGATGGCCGAGCCCCCAGGCCACAGACCTCACACAAGCAGGGACAAGGGGTCAGGCCGGCTTACCCATCACGGTGAGATTGAGCTGGCTCTCTCGGTTGCCAGCAGGGAAGGTGGCGAACTCGCAGATGTAGACGCCCTCATCCTCCAGCTCCAGGCGGGAGAGGCGGATGGTGCCGTCCATGAAGGAGGGCCGCAGGAACTCCACGCGCTCGCGGTAGGGCGCCAGCACAGAGACTCCCATGGCTGGGTTGTAGATGGCCACGTTCTGCTTGGAGCCATTGGTGGCCTTCTGCCATGTGACCTGGGTGATCTTCACGCCGGGCAGTGGGTTGGCAAAGCTGCAGTGCAGCACCACATCCGTGCCGATGAAACCGTACATGGAGTCGTTCACCTGGACCACCTGGGTGTGCGCGCCTGGGCGAGGGAGAAGGCCGGGGTGGTCAGTGACAGGCACCACCACCCCCCAAACTTACTGTGCACACGGTTTTCCTTTTCTAGCAGTCATTCTTCTTTTTATTCTGATTATAAAAATAATAATTGCTTGTGATAAAAACCCTCTGAGCAACAGTGAAATATACCAAGAAGAAAACGACAACAGTCCGTGATCCCACTACTCTGCAGTATTACTGATAAGCTTGTAGGAAATAACCTCTTTTGTTCTTTTCTCTATATAATCTATGGAACCTTTACTTTTTTTTTTTTTTTACAAAATCAGCATCATACCGCACATATGGCTCCATAAGCTGCCTTTTCACTTAGTGATATATTATCAATATTTCCATGGCAGCAAATGGATGTCCACACCCTCATTTTTGATGAGGAGGGTTGAATGTGCTGCTTTTTAAGAGACGCCACCAGCTGCTTCACCTTTCTGGGCCCCAGTTCCCTAGTCTGATAAATGGGGCGGATAATCCAGCCCTCTAATGGGGTTGGTAGGAGAACCAGGTGGTATGATGGATGAGAAGGTGTGTCAGGAGGCAGGAAGCACTGCCTACTGGGCCCACAGTGGCTGTCATCACGACCACCTCACCATCTCCTCCCTCACGGCAGAGTCCCTGTGTCCCGGGGTGCCCTGGCGTGGACCCTCACCCAGCCAGGCAGAGAGAAGCAGGCGCTGCACAAGACCTGGCCTCCTCTGGCTCCTAGCTCTCTTTGCAGTCAAGTCTCAGTGCCCTAGCTTGGCATTTCACAGTCTCGGTGCCCTAGCTTGGCATTTCACATCCTCGCCGCCTGGGCCCTGCCTTTTCATCCACATCTCTGCATACACGATGCCTCCCGACCGTGTCAGACTGGGCGGCCCCTTCTCAGAAAGTGCCACGTTTCGTGTTCCCTCCCTCCCTCTCTCCCTCCTCTCATTTATTTGACTACCTTTTGCTGAGTTTATTATCAGCACTTGAGTCATATCAATAAGTGATTCAGTCCCAGCCCTCAAAGAGCACAGAGCCTACCAACACAGCACTTCTAGGCTCTTGTTCATGCAGCTACTTGGAAGGCCCTAGAAGGCCCTTCTCCTTTTCCACCTACGGCTCTCCCACTTAGGCCACCTCCTTTGGAAAGCCTCCCTGATCCAAAAGCAGGGTCTGTGCCTTTTCCACTGCCCAGCCGAGCACCTGGCACACAGTAGGTGCTCAGTAAATATTTGTGCCAGACAAACTGCAATGGAATTTGCGAGAGTAGAGATTTGCCGGAAGGGGGGAGGGATCAATGGCATGGAATGAATGAATGGATTCCCTCTAGTCTTCCCAAGGATTATTTTATTCCATGTGGAATGGCTTTGGTTTGAGTTTCCCCTTGACCCTGACCTTGGCTCAGCATCCCCTCCAGTGGGCATCTTCATCTCTCTTGGCCTGAGCTCATTCCCAGGCTGTCATTGGCCCTGCATTTGTTGAAGGACATTTACTTCATGTTCTTGCAACCTTACCTCACTCGGTCACTATGAGAACCATCAATAATATCAATGCCAGGCCCTGCAGGCAGGGGGATGGCCTAAATGGCCCCCCAGGGGAGTTGGGGTTCAAGAGTGGGAACTTGGGACTCATACTTGCCTCTGTAAGGTGGAGACAAGGGCGCAGGGCACACTCCTCTGAGGGCTCCGAAGGCCACAGTCGGTGAGGTGTGCTGCCCCCACCTTCCGCTCAAGGTCTCTCTAGGTCACTGCACTGCCCTGTGCTTGGCACACAGTAGGTTCTCAAGAAATGTTTGCTGAATATATATATCTTTGGCCTCTGCAAGCCAGGCCCTTGCCATGCACTGAAAGCTCCCCCCCGATGCTCCCCCTTCTCGATGCCCATTCACATCCACACAGCCTTTCAAGACCCACCTGGGGTAGCCCCCCATCCCCGCCCCAGCTGTCCCCTTGCGGTTTCTTACCCCCGAGCCCTATTTTCTTCCTCTAGAAGGGAACAGGCCGCAGTTCCCAATCTCAATGGTCTCTTCTGGCCCTAACATTCAATTCCCTGAATGGCAGCCCTGCCCAGCTGGGGCCCCACCCCAGATTCAGTCCCATGGTGAGGTCAGTGGGCCAGGCAGCCCATTGCTCCTGCTGACTGGTCACCTGGCAAGCAGCTAAGCCCTAGGTCCTCCCAGCAGGATAAATGGGTGCTCCCTCCCCCACCCCAAAGCCTGCTGGAAGCTGCCCAGCTGCTGAGATAATGTGGGTATAATTGGGGAACTTTCACCGCACAAAGCCAGGAACAGGAAAAGCCGGTTGGGAGGGCTTGGGCCCCAGGCTGGGGGAGTGTATGGGTGTGGGCGCCAGGAACCATCTTGGGACTGGTGCCAGGGCATGATGGGGCTTAGAGTGGGACACAACCCACCAAGCCTGTTGTGACCCCTTCTCTCCTCATCCCCCTGCAGGTGTGGGGACAAGCAGGGCTCAGCACCTGGCACACAGGCTGACATTCATTCGCTGCGTCTTCAGCAGTGACCTCACCCTTCAGAGCTCTGAGTGCAGGAGGGGAGGCTGTTGATAGGGGCCTGGGCAGAGGGTGAGGGTGGGGTGCTGAGTGTGGCTCAGGCACCCCAGAAGCCCCTGCCCAGCGATCAGTGCCTCACCAGGCAGAGGTGGCCCTCCCCATCCCCAGGCCTGTTTTGGGTTGAAGCTGCTCTCACTCAGAATACCATAGTTAGTGGGGAGCAGGGCTCACCACTGCAAAGGAAGAGAAAGGGCTAGATGGACGCAGGCCCCCAGGAACAGGGTCCTCCTCTGTGCAGGAAGAGAGGGACTGGAAGCCTCCTCTGGAAGGCCTGGGAGCAGGGAAGGAGGGGGCCTTTGCAGACCACCCAGTCTCTCTGCTCAGCTGGTCCAAGCTTTACCAAGCCCTCCAGCTCTGACCACCCTAAAACTGATCTGTGGGTCTTCCCTGTGTTGCCCAAACTCCTCCCACCCTCTGAAGGGCTATTCTGTCGCCATCCCTTTCAGGCAGTATGGGGAGGAGGTTTGTGAAGAGCCAGATGGAATGGGTTTGCACGCTCTCTCGGTCACTTACAAGCTGTGCAACCTTGGGCAAAATGAGTTAGCCTTTCTGTGCTTTGTTTGCACTGAGAATAATGGGAATAATACCTACCCCATAAACTGTAAGAATTAAATGAGTACTTGTGAAAGTTAGAAAGAGTCCTTAGCACAAAATCAAAGGCTCCAAAACTGTTAGCTGCCATCATCGCCATTACCGCCATCATCACCAACATCGTAGCAATACCGTCACCACCACCATCACCCATTCATGAAGCAGTAGGCCTCCCTTCCCGGAACTTCAGTTCACAAACATTTATTGAGCACTTATCAGTAGTAGGTATTGTACTGGGTGCTCCTAGGCCCCCTCTTCCAGGAAGCCCTTCCTGACTCGCAACCCTTCCTACCTCTACATCCCATCCCTCTATTCCTATCCCAACTGCGTATAACATGAATTTGTATCCCTTTATTTTCTGTTTCCTGGCATGTGGGCCTTGTATGTTTCTAGTTGTGCATTCCCCCAGCTCCCAGCAGACTGGAAATCCCTGTGGGAGAGCCAAGGAGCAGGCCAGGCCCTGGTTTGAGTAGATCATGTCATGGCTGATGCTGGCAGGGTCCAGGACTTGGAGGGTGAGTACCCTGTGGGCTCTCTCTGGTTCCCCAGTTGGTTAGGTCTGGTCCACAGAAGACACCGCCTCTCCTTCCCCTCAGGTTCTCTCTTACGTGAGAGGTGGAGGCTGTCCCGGATGTGGGATTCATGGTCACTAAAATGGTAGAATATTGGAGCTCAGCGGACTATGCAAACCATCATCCTACAAAGATGGAGACCAGAGTGCAGAGCAGGCATTTACTCAGGGGCACAGAGAAGCAGCTCCCAGCCCGGTGCTCTTCCTACCCCGCCACAGAAACAGACTCAGGTCCTCAGGTTCACTCTCCAGGGCCTCCTTCTGGGTGGCGTCCCTCCCGGGATGTGACCTCTGTTGCTCCTTTTGAGACATGGAGCGAATGCCGGTTACAGTACAGTGGCCACCCTGCACCGGGCTCTGTAGGGAGTGGGTCACGGGCCTGGGGCCAGGGCTGGAGTCCCAGCTGGACAGCAGTGGCTGGGGGTCATGAGTCAGGTCAGAAACAGGGACTTTGGGAGCCCAGGTCCGGGGCACCCGCAGGAGGACACCACGAGCAGAGCACGAAGGAACTGGAAAGGTGTGGAGTGAAGAGTGGAGAGATCCCTGGGAATCGGTGCCCTGAGCAGAGGTCCTCGCATGCCGGGGATATTGAAGCATAGCCTTTCTTTTCCTAACCTCCAGCACCGCGTAGATTCTCCCCGACTACCCCATGAGCTGCAGGGCATGGGGCCCAGGCCCTTGGGCCTGTGTGCAGGCCTCTCGGTTTCCCTACCAGAGTCGGCGTTGGGCTGTTTAGGCTGCTTTCATGGCTTCCCAGAAGTGCTGAGCCCACGAGGCAGGCATCACGCCGGCCCCCTGAGACGTCACGGACCTGCAAAAGCCCGAGCTCAGCAACAAAACACAAAGGCGCCTCAGTGGTGGCGGACAAACCTGCTCCCCAGGGTCCTGCCTGCCTGCCTTACCCGCTGTGGAGCTAATCCCGGGCTGGGGCCGCGAGTTCCCACGCAGCGGGGTGTGGCTCAGAGCGGCGGGGAGCTCTGCTCTCTATACCCACCTCAAGCGTTTTCCCTTCCCGCCCTTCAAAAGCTCAGACCCCTCTCTCCCTGGTTGGGCCTGGGCCCCTCTTCTGTCCTCTATTCCCTTCCTGTGACTCTGCCTGGGTGCCCTCAGGTGGGCAGAAAGGCAAGCCTGACCTGGAGGAAATTGGGAGCACACTGGGACAGGGATGCTGGGCTCCCCAAAAAGGGCCTCTCTGAAACCCAGATCCTTTGGGATCCATCTCCGGGGCTTCCCAGGGACGCACCCCCTTGCCCCACCCCATGCCCCACTGCTCCCGG